TCCGATACGTAGCGATGCAGACAGAAGCGTGTACAGTATGAGCCAATCAGTGGCAGTAATGACAGAGCATGCGCTGTTATGCAAAAACCGCGCTACAGTGAAGCCGCAGAAGTCGAAGCGCGAAGTGGCGAGGGTTCACTGTATACTCGTATATAAGCTGAGTTTTTTCAGCACATTTTTTATGCAGTTTTTGTGGTAAAATTAGATGCCTCGGCTGATACTCGGGTCGGCTTATACTCAAGTGTATATGGTACCTTAGGCTTCAGCAATCCCGACTAGCTATATCCTAGAGAATTAAGAACCCTGAGACAAATAGATATGCACACCTATGTTTATTGTAGCATTATTCTTATGCATAATAGCAAAAAGATGGAAACAGCCGAGGATGGAAACAAAAAGCAAAAAGATAGAAATATCAATGGACAAATTATGGTACATACACACAGTGGAATACCATGCAGTATCAAATAACGACAACTCTGTGAAACACTTCATAACATGGACGAACCTAGAGGATGTTATACTGCGTGAAACTAGTCACTTACAAAAAGGCAAAGATTGTAGAAGACCACTACGATAAAAAGGCAAGAGAAGGTGGACACACGAGAGAAATATCTTTTTGCCAAAACCTGGCATGCTGAGACAGCTGCATGAGCAGGTGCACTATCATGGTGGCAAAAACAGTCTCCATCTGCCACAAATCAGGCCTTTTTTGTCGTTCACTGTTACACAATCAGAACCTCTAAATAGAAAGCTTGATGAACAGTCTGACCTAGTGGAACAAACTCCAAATGCACTATCCCCCTCACATCAAAAAAACAAATGAGCATTATCTTGACCTTTGATTTCACTTGATGAGTTTTCCTGGAGCAAGGTGATGATGGTGCATCTTCCACTGGCTTCATTGGTGTTTGCTTTCAAGGTCGTAAGAATAGCACCATGTCTCATCACCAGCAATGACCTTGGTTAAAAAGTCTGGGTCATTTCAGAGCTGTTCTTTCAAAGGATGACATGTTTCCAGTCGACGCTCTTTTTGCTGGTCAGTCCGAACCCGAGGCACAAATTTCACAGCAACCCTTCCCAATCCCAAATCTTCTGTTAAAATTCCCTGAACTGAGCTCCAAGACAGTCCAAATAACTTCCCCATCTCTTTAATGGCCCGTAGTCAGTCTTTGAGCACAAATCCATAAATTTTGTCAATGTTTCATCTGTTCAGGAAGTTGACAGACATCCAGAATGATGTTTGTCATCAATCGACCTTTTCAGTTGTTTTGTATTTATCATCTTATTGGGGGGGAGGGGCTCTTACAAATCTTATAACTATCTATCATTCAATTGTACTAAGCACACTTGTACATATGTTGCCATCAATATTTCCAAAACATTTTTTCTACTTGAGCCCTTAGTATCTGCTCCTCTTTTTTCCCCTTCCTCCCCTACGCTTGTGAATCCTTGATCAATTATATATTATTGTTGCTATTTCATGTCTTACACTGTCAGTTGTCTCCCTTCACCCAAATTTCTGTTACTCGGCCTCCTGGGGAGTGGGCTATATATCCAACCTTGTGATGGGTTTCCCCTTTCTCCCCCACCCCAGCCCCCACCATCCCCCTACCCTCATATCACTACTCCCACTACTGTTCCTAAGGGTCTTATCTGTCCTGAATTCCATGTGTCAAAAGCTCTTATCCATATCAATGTGTATACACCGGTCTAGTAGAGTTTGTAAGGTAGAACTGGGTCATAGTTGTGAGGGAAGGAAGCATTCAGGAACTAGATGTGTGGTTTGTTGGTGCTATATTGCACGAGGGTTGAATTGTCCCTTCCTTGTAACCTTTCTGTGGGGGGGATGTCTAATTGTCTACAGGTGGGCTTTGGGTCTCCACTCCAAGCCCCCTCTTTCACATTGATACAATTTTTGTTTTGGATCTTTTGGTACCTGATATCTGCTTCTGTCAATACCTCATGATCACACAGGCTGGTGTGCTTCTTCCATGTGGTCTTATTTGCTTCCCTGCTAGATGGCCGCTTGTTTAACTTTAAGCCTTTTAAAACCCCAGACACTGTATCTTTTGATAGCCAAGCACCATCAGCTTTCTTCACCACATTTGCTTATGCACCCATTTTGCCTTCAGCAATCATGTTGGGAAGGTGAGTGTCAAAGAATGCCAGGTTATTAGAACAAAATGTTCATGTGTTTAGGGAGCCCTTGCATAGAGGCCCAAAGTCCATCTGCTACCTTAATACTTAACATATAAATATATGTACATTGGCCTCTGTCACTTTCATTATAAATTAATATATTTACATATATACATGCCTGTCTCATACTTCTTTCCTATTTCCTTTAACTTTCCTCCTGTCCCACTATCATGTTCACCTTCCATTCAGCTCAGTAATTCCTCTTGGATACATTGCACTTGATCAAACCCCACAAGATATTCTACCTGCTCCTGACCATCAATTTTAGATCTCATGTTGTTCCCTTAGCCCTGAATTTTTTGGCACCCCAATCCCCCACCCCCTCCTCTCCCATTTCTACCCAGGACCGCCAGTCCCATTGTTTTCTCCTCAGGATTGTTTGTCCTGCCTATCTTATAGATAGACATAGGGCAAAAGAGAAAAAAAAGATATTTTCAGGTCTGTCTGCTGACCCTTATGAGTGTTTTCCATTCAGGTGTGATGAGGTGACAAACTCTATCCCCCGAGTCAGAAGTCTATTTCCAGGATTCCTCGGGGACTTTGTTACTTTGCTCGCCTTGTTGCCCTGTTGCACTCCATTCACGTTTCGCCCCACTGTGCGTGGGGCAGACCAGGCACACTTTCCACACGGTGTCTCCAGTGCTATCCCCCGTAGCACTATAGGTCAGTGAGAAATGTCCAGTCTTGTGGTGGGGGCCAGCCCTACAATCCTCCCTGTGCATTGGCTGTTGCAAGCAGGCATGTCATCCCCAGGACTTCATGGGCCATGATGAGGTGTTTTTGCTCTCTTCCTTTCTCTCTTAGTTGGCACCTGTGTGGTCTGGGCAGACCCACCAATTTCCTCAGGCTATATCTTCAATCCTGTCCTCTGTATTACATTCTTCTGGGGAGGAGGTCAACATAGCTCGGCTAATTAACATTTTTAAAACAGGAAAACCACTCGTACACTTCAATTTTTCCCATAGCACTGTCCTTGTGACCTTGCAACAGCACAACACTTTTTGCAGCATTTTTCCTGAGCAGGAAACAAAAAGCTCACAGCCACATGCTTAAATCAGCCATCAGAAAAAACGAGGTCGAGCAAAACTGCCTTTACAAAAATATTCACTGTGACCAGAGAAAACCTTCGATGCCACTGAGTGCACTAACTCAGAGCAAGTTGCTCCTCAATGCTCAAAAAAGGCATACTACAAAAGCTCCACCCAGCACAATTTCAGTTTGGAGGGAGTGTGAGTGTGAGTGTGAGTGTGAGTGTGTGTGTGTGTGTGTGTGTGTTTACCCAAGAAAATGACCCAGTATGAAAAGTGTTTCATAGTACACATCCCAGGCACACATTATTAGTCTTTGTGAATAGTACTGTATTGTAAGTAGACTATTGAAAGTTTTAAGCACTTGATTTTGGTCACTAATTTTCCTTCTTTTGAGGAGTTAGTTGTTTGTGTTTTCTAACGATGTAATCATATGTGCTTTCACAACAGTGTAATCATTTGTGCTTTCACAACAGTGGAAGTTCATGTTGTATTATTTATATCATTATTCAATAAGAAGGGATTTTCTTCTTGTTTATTAGATTTAAAATCTAATGATAAGTAGGTGGCAATGAAAATATAGGTGGTGAGACATAGGGAGTGTAAATATTCCAAATTGTTTCATAACAGTGCTGAATATTAGCATATTTATATGATCAGAAATTGAAAGTGATTCAAACCAACTATTCCTTCCTCATATGTAAAGTACTATGATCCAAATTATGTTGAATTTCCCTCAGGAAGATTATTGGACAATCTTATTAGCATTTAAAATTCAATATTCATTTAGATACCTTCTCAAATATAAGATAAATTCAGGGTAAAAATTATTTCTAGATCTAACGATAAAATAATTTATGTTCAACAAAGTTAATTATTTGAAATTAATAGATTTTAAAATTAAACGTATTATTGCTATTACCTAAAGTTTTAAAATAATTGCTTTACTTTTCATTTAAAAGCATATTGTCTAGATGTCTTTGAGGCCAGAAGTTCTCAACCCTGATTGCATATTAGAATCACTATGGAGTGTTTTTTTTTTAATTTAGCTGCTAAGGCCCCCTCCCAAACCAGTTATATCTGTCTCTGGAGGTAGAGAAAGAAGTATCTGTGGAGATTCTAATATACAGTGATGCCTGAGAATTACTGTCTTTGATCTTTTGTTCTCTGAATGTAGTCATGCTCTAAGTAAGACATTGTTGCTTTTAGGTGCCATCCTGACAGTTCTGATTCATAGTGACCCCACACTTGGTCCTTCAACACCCTCACAATTGTTACTATATTTGAGCTTATTGCTGCAGCCACTATGTCATGTCATCTCACTGAGAGTATCCCTCATTTCCATTGACACTCTACTTTTTAAAATAAAGGGGGGGAAATAGAACCATGTCCTAAACAAAATTACATCAAATTATGGTGAACACTCAAATAGTATCTAAAATAAGTAAAAAATAGATGTTGTTCTGCTTTCAAGTAAATGGATTAGGTACCAAGCAAGAATTAAAAAGCAAGAATTTTGTACACTTTGACTAATCCATACTCATTTAAAGATATTGTGAAAATTCACTTTGCAAATAAGAACCAGAGGACAAAACCACTAAGGTCAATTAAGTTGCAGATTAAAATTTAAATTTTGAAAGGAGCCTCTTAGCCTATCTAATATCCTTGCCAACCAGCTTATTCCTTCTCATGATATTGAGATTTCATTGTTTAGAAGCTGTGAATCAACATCTGGTGTGTCTTAGACCCATAAGCTTTGAAGCAGAGTGTTTTGAATTAGAAAGGAATAATATTTACTGCACAGTACAAAATCAAAACAATATGGTTTCATCCCTCTTGAATTTTGGCTACTGATAGCTCCACTCTTATCTGAGCCCAGAGACCATCTTAGTCTGATAACATTCCAGATTTTCCATCAAATTTTTTCTCCATAGCTGAAAACAATTCCTCCCTTCTGCTATCCCATCTGCCAGTGCTGTACAAGGTATGTATGTAAATCATTTCTTGTTAGCACATACAAGGCTGTCAAATGGGAATACAATTTTTTCCAAATAAAGATCGAATTTGACAGATACACATATTACCTGCCATTCGATTTCACTGTAATCAAACCAATCATTACTCTTTAAGAACAAACAGATCAAATCTAGAAAATCTTAAAATGAAAACTCTGGCTTTTCTTAAACACACCCTGGGAAAACAGGAAATACACAATGGAAAAACTGGAGAAATAACTGAAGAGAAGCCACGGTCCATGAAGAGTTGTGATTTACATATATAATTCTCACTAGAGAATAAAATTATTTTTATGTATTATATATTTTTATTATTTCTATTTAAGCCAAGAAAAACTTACTGGATTTCCCAGAAATGTAAAACGTTATCTTATGTAATGAATTATCCTTTACACAGAGGAAAAAAATTATCTTCTTTTTTTTTTTTAATACAGGTTCTAATTTTATTCTTATTCCTGAACTCCCTAACAAATTACCTCTCATGAATACAAGAAAAAGTTACCTGGTCTTAGAACACCATCTAGTGGAAGCCTAAAGCCAAATTAATCAGGTCAGTGCAAACTATTTGGGTGTTTTTATGTGGAAGAGCTTTCCTACCAAAACGATAAATTAGAAGAATGTGTTGAGGTAGTTTAAAATTTAGTATTCATCACCAGTCATTAAAACACATGTAAAATAAACTTGACGAAGTCGACCGAGGTAAGTCTATTAGTTTAATCTAGTGCATTTGGATGTAAGAATTTGGAATAAAGTTAAGTATCTTTAAAGATATTCTTTAAAAATGTTAAAGCAAAAAAAAATTGAGTAATTCAAATAATCTGTTTTCAATAATAATTTATAAATTACCAAGGACTCATGAGGGAGGGAGCATGGGGGCGGAAGGAAAATGAGCTAATACCAAAAAATGTTTTGAAAATGATGATGGCAACATATGGACAAATGTGCTTGACAAAAATGGATGCATGTATGGACTGTGCTAAGAGCTGTATGAGCCTCCAATAAATTATTAAAAATAATCATCTGTTTTTCATGAAATTGTCTTATAATTTAAAAAGGGGGCTTTAACATACTATCCCAATTGGATCTTAGTTTTGCAAAACAGTGTGCAATTAGCATAGTTATTCTCCAACTCTGCTTTTTGACTCAGTTTATAAATAAACTCAGGTTTCTCTACACTTGCACAAGTTTCATTTAATAATTTGTCAATAGGTTGTATCACTCATACATGATTCCATTCCCGTCTATGGGTCCCTGATAAATACACACACACACACACACACACTAGGTAAAATTAAACTGAGAATAGCTATTTTCCCCCCAAATGTTTCAAGGGTAAATAATATTTACAATCTCAATCGAGGTTCAACACATCGGACAAAATAATCATACTCATCTTCCTCTTCTTCATCCCAATTCCGCCAAATGTTTTGGTAGAAAAACCTGGAAAAAAAATTAGTATCATCAAAATTCAATCACTGGTTCAAAAGTTCAGGATTTGGGAAGAGTGAAAGCTACACTGTTTGAAAATAAATGAAAACATTCTATCAACTCTAGAAATCACCTCATGTCTTACCATTACTAAAAACTCATGCGGGACCTTTCTTTTGATCAGCTATAGAAGTTTTCTCCAGAGGACCCAGGAAGATGGTGCCTGGTTAGAATCTTCTGCCCAAGCCAGAGACCAATTTGAATTCTGGGATTTCAGATACTCAACCTGAATTTTTGGTACTCCAGCAATATTTTGGATTTCCCTCCCCACTTTTCACCCCTGGAGAATGCCATAGGGGTTGGCACAGCAGCAAGCTCCTGCAGCTCCCTCCCCCTAGCACTGGGACCCACCAGTGCAAGGGAAATCTCCTCCTTCCAGCTCCCACCCCCTCATCCCCCACAATTACAACCACGGTTTTACCTAGTGCCCCCATCCCTCTCTGACCCTGGGAGCCCTGTGTGGAGGCAGGAGCTCAAGGCAGGAGCTCGAGGTAGGAGAGCAGAATCTCCATAGTTCCACACTATATCCCAATGCACCTTCCCGCTGGATAGAAACTTCTAGCTAATGCGACCTAGCCTCACCCAGTATCTCACAGGTAGGGATCTCATCCGGTAATCCAGATGTGCAACCTGAACTCTGGGTGCTTTGTAGTAACCCAGCTTAGCACGAAGAACTCCATTTTGTTTAAAACTTCTTTCAATCCCCTGCTAGCAGCTACCTGCTCCTCACCCCTTCTTCCCCTCCTGGTCTCCTGACAGACCTTGATTCTCTTTCAAGATGCTTCCAGACCCCTCCTGCCCAACCAATATCCTGCTACCCAGTTAGCAAGAAATGTAATCTATCCTGCCAGACTTTGATTTACTACCTGCAGCTGCTACTCCTAGCCCCTCCTGGTATCATGCCTGTCGGATAAGCAAAAAATGCAACTGCCTGGTTCCCCTCCCCCACAAGCAAGCGTGTGTGCGCGTGCGCGCACACGCGCGCGCGCGCGCGCGCACACACACATATACACACACACCCTTAGGCCAGCCCTCTGCCATTAACTATAAAAACCCTTTTCTCTCTTTGCTCTGGGTTGAAGGCTTTCCAAGGTCAAGCCTCCTCTTAGCCTAGTGGTTAATAAAGGCTTATTATTACTAGTGGGCAATTTAATCTCAAGTGCATACAAGAGCTTCAAGAGTATTTTTTTATTTTTTTCCTTTTTTCTTTTATAAAACACAGGCACGCACACACAAAATTCTTTTCCTGTTGGAGAACCGGGAAATCTGTATTTCAGCAAGTCTGTGCAGCTTCCCCTCCCCCAGCCCTGCAATTTGTCAATGTGTGGACTTACCTGTTCTTAACCTCCACCTGATTAGAAGTCCCCCTTCACCTCAGGGCTCCATTCCTATAGCCTATTTCAACCCTGGGACCCTGGCAATAGAGGGCAGTTAGCAGGGGGGGGTGCAGAATCTTGATATCACCCCACTACGTACCACAAGACATTCCCTCCCTGAGAACAGGGAAGCAGTGTACTGCCAAAATAAGGGCCCTCTCCTATAAACATAATCACATCAATAGGTGGCACTCTCCCTATATCAGATACAGGGAAAATAAGTGACTCTGGTAGATTATTAAATATACTCTCCACCTTCCCCAGTCCCCACTACCTCAGGACCCTGCTCCCACTTTCTCAGTGAAACACACTTTCACATAATCTAACTAATCTAACTAGAACGCCTTTTAAAATCCCTTCTTCCAATTTATTAAAAAAAAAAAATCACTATATTTAACCAGCAGACTACCTATGATAAATACCATCCCTTAAATCCAACTTCCGAGCCCTTATCTCCTATTCTTACCACACACCCAATTCTAACTCTTTCCTTATCTCTGCACAATAAGACTTCTAGCTCCTATCTGATCTTCCTCCTCTACCCCAAAGAGCCAACCCCAACCCTCCCCCGACACACACACACAATCCAGAACCATGCACACCATCTGAAGCTGGACCACTATATGCTATGCAAACAACAGCCAGCATCAGTTATCACACACACACAAAAAGATAAACAAAAGTCAACAACTGATGAGTACCCAAAGCAAATGGAATACACACAAAAAAGAAGCTTTTGCTCTGTCAGAAAGAGAATACAGGAGGGCGAAGAAAGCTGATGGTGCCCGGCTATCAAAAAGTATAGCGTCTGGGGTCTTAAAGTCTTGAAGGTAATCAAGCGGCCATCAAGCTCAGAAGCAACAAAGCCCACATGGAAGAAGCACACCAGCCTATGCAACCACGAGGTGTCAAAGGGATCAGGTATAAGGCATCATCAGAACAAAAAATCGTACCATAGTGAATGATGGGGGGAGTGCGGAGTGGCGATCCAAAGCCCATTAGTAGGCCACTGGAGATCCCCTTGCAGAGGGGTCTTGGGGAGGAGATGAGCCAGTCAGGGTGCGATGTAACAACAATGAGAAATACAACTTTCCTCTAATTCTTAAATGTTTCCTCCCCGCTCCCACTACCATGACTCGAATTCGACCTTGCAATTCTGGTTAGACCAGAGGATGTACACTGGTACAGATAGGAACTGAAAATACAGGGAATCCAGGGCGGATGAGCCCTACAGGACCAGTGGTGTGAGTGGCGAACCAGGGAGGGTAGAGGGAGAGTGGGTAGGAAAGAGGGAACCGATTACAAGGAACTATATGTGACCTCCTCCCTGGGGGACAGACAACAGAAAAGTGGGTGAAGGGAGACGTCGGACAGGGCAAGATATGACAAAATAACAATTTATAAACTATCAAGGGCTCATGAGGGAGGGGGGAGCGGGGAAGGAGGGGAAAAATGAGGACCTAATGCCGGGGGTTTAAGTGGAGAGAAAATGTTTTGAGAATGGTGTACAAATGCGCTTTACACAATTGATGTGTGTATGGATTGTGATAACAGTTGTATGAGCCCCTAATAAAATGTTTAAAAAAGAAATACAGGAGAATGATGTTTGGGGCTATACAAGCGATCTAGGAATCAATCTTGAAAACAAAGAAAGAAATCAAAATACTAAGACCTCACACCCAAAAGAAACCCAGAAACTAAGCAATGAGATAGCAGAGATTAAAAACACAGTATACAAACTGAGCAATAGGAAGGAAAAAAATGGAAAATCAAATCAGGGAACTCAAAGACAACCATGCAGATTTCAGCAAGCAAGGGAAACAATCAAGCAAAACAGCAAAATAATCTGAAGAAAGCTTGAGGATGATGTGGGACACCACGAAGAGAATCACTGGAATACTGGAACAGGAAGACACAAACAATTCTACAGATAAAATAGGGAATTCATGGAAGAAAGTCTCCCCAATATCACAAAGGAGAAGATGATAACCATCCAAGAAGCAGAGAGAATACAAAATAGATTAAACCTCCCCCAAAATCACATCAAGACATATAGTAGTCAAATTATCTAACATCGAGGGAAAGGACAGAATCTGGAGAGTATCAAGAGGGAATAAAAGAGTCGCCTACAAAGGGAAACAGATAAGAATAAACACAGACCTCTCCACAAAAACCATGCAGGAAAGGAGAAATGGAGCAACAGATTCCAAATCTTGAAAGACAAAAATTGCCTTTCAAAGAAAGACTCCTATATCCAGCAAAGTTACCCATCAAATATCAAGGCAAAATAATAATATTCTCAACAAGGAAATTTTTAGAGAATTTATAAAAACAAATCAAGCATTACAAAAAATATCCAGATCTTTATGGTCAGAAAACCAACAATGGCAGCACACACACGAGGCCACCCAGAAGTCAACACACTGAGTGTACTGACAACAGTACTCAAGACAATACAGACCAAGAGGAGAAACAAAGACATGGCTAAATGACCCATACTCCCCCACAAAAAAGGAGGAAAATACCAAACACAAATAATATGAGATGATAGCAAATAATCTACATTTTGAATAACACTGAATGTCGATGAATTAAATGCACCAATCAAAAGACAAAGAGTAGCAGACTGCATAAGAAAACAAGATCCATTAATCTGCTGCCTTCAAAAGACACCTTAAACTCAGAGACAAAAACAGACTGAGAGTCAAAGAATGCTGAAAATTTTACCAAGCTAATGGCAATTAAGAAAAAGCAGGAATAGCAATATTAATCACCAACAAAATAGACTTCAAAATAAACATCATGAGAGACAAGAATGAGCATTACATAATAACCAAAAGATAAATAAGAACACATAATCATAATGAACATACTGTATATACTCGTGTATAAGCTGTTTTTCGGCACAGTTTTTATGCAGTTTTTGTGGTAAAATTGGGTGCCTTGGCTGATATTCGGATCAGCTTATACTCGAGTAGATATGCTACATGTGCCCAACAAACGACTCCCTAAATATATCAACCAAACCCTCAGAGATGAAAAGAGAAATCACCACATCAAAGATAATAGTAGGAGATTTCAATACAGCACTCTCAAAGATAGATCCACAGGAAAGAAACTGAAGAGCTGAACAACACTTTTGTTCAAACAACTCAACCTCCTAGATATTTAGAGTTCTCTAACCAACAGCAAAAAAACATTCTTCTCCAACACACATGGCACATATTGCAAAACAGACCAATGCTAAGCAATAAAGCAAGCCTTAACAAATTCAAACACAGAGATCATTCAAGCCATCTTCTCTCACCATAGTGCCATAAAACTGGAAATCAACAACAGAAAGAATAAAAACAAATACACAGAGATTCAACAACACACTACTCAAAAAAGACTGGGTATTAGCTCAAGTAAGAGATGAAATCAGGAGGTTCCTAGAAACCAACAAGAATGATAATACAACATACCAAAACTTACGGAACACAGCAAAAGCAGCTATCAGGTTAGTTTATAGCAATTAATGCACACAAGAAAAAATCATTTCAACTCATTAACACAAACCCCAACAATTACAAGAGT